TTAGGGAAAATCTGCGGTTGACGTTTTGGTTGGGAGTTAAAACGAGGGAGGGAAACGTAGGAAAAATGGAAACATATGGGATATGGGAGGTCATACGGGGAAGGGGCGGGGGCGGGGGAGGTAGGGAGTTAAAATGAAAATTTGTGCACGATGAAATGGAATGTTTAATTTTCGAACAAGGGGAATTTATTTTTACCTATATTGAAAATGAAATTTTTTTTTTTTTATTTACCCCTTTAAATCTTATGATATCGTGTGCGTGAATGCGTCGTATATGTGCGTGTGTGCGTGCGTGCGTGTGCGTGTGTGGCACAGTTGGTTCAAACTTGAAATCGATGTTTCTTCTTTAATTTTTTTTATTTATTTTCGATTTGTTAAAAAATTATAAAAAAACCGTAAAATATTATTAAAATCTATAGGAACGTTTAATTTTTTTATATTTTTTTATGGGGAATTCCCTTTCGTAAGGGTAACGCACACGCACACACACACACACACACACACATCAACATTTATATTAAAATATCAATTTTTTTAATATCTTTTCACTTTCACATATATATATATATATATTTAAATAAAATTAATTTTTTTTTATAAAAGGAATCGATTGATTGATTGATGATTGATTTTATCGATTTCGATGCGTGAAAAAAAAAAATAATAATAATAATTACGCAATAATCAATAATCGTCAATTTTATTTTATTTTTTTTTATTAAATTCAGGTTCGTTTTTTAATTTTTTTTTTTTTTATACGTGTCGCAATAATGCAATAAAAAAAAAAAAAATTTTTTTTTAATAATAATTGTTTATAGCAGACGAAATATAAAATTATAATATTTTTTTGCAAAGAAAAATGTCGCCGTTATAATAATAATAATAATATTATGTCCTCGTCGTCGTGTTGTCGATTTTTTTAAGATGTCACTCATATGTAACAAAAAAAAAACAAGTTTGTCGTTGTTGTTACGTGTTTATGTATGTTTTTGTGTTTTTGTGTTTTTTGTTTTGGCATTTTGTTTTTTTATCGTTTTGTTACTATCATTTATAAAAAACAGAAAATTTCGAAATCGTCGTTGATATGCAAAAAAAAAAAAAAGCAAAAATTAAAAATATTTCGTTGTGATGACGTAATCGATTCTAAGTCGAAAGAAAGAAAAACCGTCGTTTTTTTCTTTACTCCCCTCTTCTCTTCCCCCCTCCCCCCACAAAAAAAAAAGAAAATTTTTTTTTCCACTCTTTTGCGGTATAAATAAATTCTGGAGAATATAGCTCAAAAGATTAGGTTCCCGTATTTTTTTTTTTTTTGGTTTTTTGTTTTTCCAGCAGCTTGATGCTTACTTACTTAAAAGCCATCTTTTCTTTTTTTTTTGTTTTTCGTAAATATATATATACTAAATATCAAAAGGTTTAGAAAATTTTGTTTAAACAAAAAGAAAAGAAAAGAAAAGGAAAGAACAAAAGAAAAAATGCATGAGAAATTTTTCCTACATAAAGAAAATTTATGCTCTAATTACAAATAATATTAAATTTGGATTGGTGGAGGGGGAGAAGTGTTTACGTCACGGATGAAATTGATAAGACGTTCTGAAATTCGTAAAATAAGTTTTTGATAACGAGAAATATGGAAAACTATTGGAAAATCGTGTAGGAAAATTATATGTAAAATAAACGTGGTTAAAAAAACCGGCGTGCCGGTTATTATAAACGTTTAATTTTTTTTTTTTTAAAAGCAGACGACATTTATTATTAACACGATATGTGAAACATAACAATGACGTAAAAAAAAAAAAATTTATTGTTATCGTTAATAATAATAACAAAATTTTATCGGATTTTGTTTGGGGAGGGAGGTAAAAATCGAAAAAGGGTTTTTAAAAAAAAAAATAAATAAATATTTTAAAATGATTTTTTTTTGGGGGTGAGTGCGGTGGGGGTGGGGTTAGAGGGGGTGAAAACGGGGAGTCAAATCGAGTTGGAAAAAAAATAAAAATAAAATTTATTTAAAAAGTGCGAGAATAAAAAAAAAAATTATATATATACGGACATGGAAAAACGTTACGTTTATTAATTAATAAATTTAAAATATATATAAAAAAAAATAAATGTCAGTCGGTTGTTGTATACCGGAAAACAAACAAAACAACCAAACAAACAAACGACTGAAAAAGTCAATTTTCGATTTGAAGTAGTTAAAAAAAAAATTTTTTTTTTTTTATTCAAGCACCGAAAATTTTTATATAAGTATTAATATAAAACGTTATTAATAAAGCGTAGGTTTCGACTTTTTTTTTTTGTCGTGGAAGGAGAAAGAGATAGAGGGGGGTGGAGGGAGGAGGGGGAGAATAAAAACAAACCTCAATAACTTTTTTTTTTTTTTTTTTTTTTTTGAGTTTTTCAACCTTCCACTCAACTTGTGATGGATAAGTTCGATGAAGTTTTATAGGTTTTTCTCAAGTATTATGATGCATTAAAAATCAATAGATTTTCTCCTTCCTCCCCCCCAAAAAAAAAAAAAATTTTTTTTATTTTTTTGGTTTTGTTTTCAAATTGTTGCAAAGACAGAAAAATTCGAAGTGAGGGAGAATGGGGGGAAGTGAGAAAAGGAAAGAGAAAGAGCGAGGAAAATTAATAAGACGAGGAAAAGCCCTTCTTACCTTTGATATAATTTAAAATGGTGGTTAAATTAAATAAAATTTTCTAGAAAATGATAACGGATATTTATCTTTGCTATTATTATTATTATTATTATTGATTTGGAAAATAATTTTTTTATTAAAATTTTATTTTTTAATTAATTAATTTTCAATGAGTTATGCGCGTGTGCGAACGAATTTAAACTCTCCACTAATTTTTTTTTTAGTTTTTATTTTTCACCTTTGACTTTTTCTATCTCTCTCTGTCTTTCTCTCTCTGTCTTTCTCTCTCTCTCTCTCTCTCTTTTGTTCTTTTGTCTTCTGTTAAATTTTTATTTCTTTCTCGTCTTTTTCGTTTTACAACATTTAAAAAATCGATCTATCATTTATTTATTTATTTTTTCTAAATTGATGTCGTCTGCTAATATTTTCATGGTATTTTCCGTGTAAAAGAAAAAAACATTTCAAATAAAAAAATGGCGATAATAATAATAATAAGTCAAAATTTTGTCAAATAAAAATTTTTTATTTAAAAAAAAAAAAAAAAAAATGAATTCTATAAATTTAACTATAAACTCTTTAAAAATTTGCGTTAATAAAATTAATAAATATACAATTTTCAAAACAAACAAACAAAAAAACAAAACACAAAAAACCTTTTATTATTATTATTATTATTAATCATCTTTCTAAACTCACCCTCGTCGCGGAGGGAAGGTTAATACGAAAAAGATATCGGTTTATTAAACGTAATCACTAATAATAATTATTTTTTTATTTTTTTTCGCGTCACGTGTTTTTTTTTTTTATTAAATGCGACGATTTTCCCTCCCTCCCTTCCCTTTATTTTCCGTTTTCGCGACAAAATTTTCCACACGTTTACCCTCGGACACTTTTCCCAAACGTAGGGGGGGTGGCGCGTACGGGCGCGTCACGTTGCAAAAAATTAAATAAAAATTGTTTTAACGAAAATATTTCGTCACATGAAAACATCTTCGACGGTCGTTAATGTTTTCCTATTGTTTACAGCCACGGCATCATCTTTAAACGTGACCATTTTTTCTTTTGTTTTTTCATTAGATATAACCATCTGGTCTCCCAGACGATGATTATTCGGTCTAAGAATGCTGGCAGCCGATGAGGGTCTGATAACAGCTTGAGGCGGCGGTGGAATTATAACCACGTCCGTGACAATGCCGGCCAAATTGAATTCGCTGACGCTTCGTGGTACAAAATATTCCAAGGCTTCGTTACTACTCGATGATTTGATGAGGGAACTTCCGGAACATCGAGTCGCGGATCTTCTTTGAAATTCGTTCACCCGTATGTGTCCTCCTTTATCATCATCTCTGCTACGTCTGGGTAAGGTGTGCGTTTGTAATATTTTATTCGGTTGTTTCAATATGGGCACGATATTTTTTTTCTCCGACGTAAATCCCACGTGATTCCTTTTACTTTCTTCTAGGGCATCGATTTTATTTTGTCAAGACGTGGTCGAGGATACGAATGACATTGATATACCCTCTAAATCGTCTTTTTCCTCCATTCCGTCGTTGATGACTCCGAAAAATTTTGTCATTTTTTTCAACGTCACGACCGCTTGCTCTTGAACTAAATTAAAACACATGGCTATCATCGCCATGCCGATTAATAAATAACTGCTTGCTATTGCCACGGAAATGATTTCACCGCTCACGGAAGACTTTTTTGTAAGGTTCACGTTGTGATTCAAACCCGGCATGAGATCTCCGAAACCGATCGTGCTCAAACTGGCGAAACAAAAAAACGAACTTTCAAGGTATGTCCAATTTTCAATCGTGTGAAAAAGATAAGCTCCCCCGCATATATATAATAATATTATAATAAAACAAAACGAAATGGGAACTTTAACTATTATGTTATGGGGGCAAACGTGTTTCAAAGTGCACACTTCCGTCGCTGAATCGTAAATCCCCGTCGCTCTGATATCTTTCATCATGTCATCCGTGCTCCCCGTCGTGAGTGGGATTTTACCATCAGGGATATTATTATGTTTTATATGACCGTAAGTCGCAGCATTTAAAAAAGTCCTTTCCGTTTTATTATTGCTGCTGCTACCACCGCCACCCCCACCGCCACTACCACCACCTCCGCTACTACTATTACACTTTTTACTTTTGCTCTGTTTTTTATTATTATCTGAATTTTTAGATTTTTTCCTTAGTCCGACGCAAAATATTTTAGCGTATAACGTTCGGAAATATCGTGATAGGATTTCTCCGATCGTCGACAAATAAATAAGCATGAGAGGAATTCCAATTAACGCGTATAATATTGTTGTGAGTTTTCCCCAAGGCGTTCTCGGTGCTACGCTTCCATAACCTGAAAAATAAAATATTATTGTTTAGTAATAATAATAATAATGTGCGAGAATGAAAAGGTTGTAGTTTCCGTGAAAGAGTGTGTGGGGCGGGAGTGAGAGAGAGAGAGAGTAAGGGAAAAACAAAAGCGTGAAAATTTTCTCCCGGAAAAATTTTTTTAAAAAAATTATGGAAAGGGGAAAAGGGAAAAATGACTACTACTGAACGAAAAATGTCATTAAAGGAAGAATTCAAAGGTCAAAAAAGGATAACAAAAAGGAAATATAAAAAGAGGAAAACTAAAATGAAAATCTCGAGCGTATTTTCCAACGAATTAAATTGTTGGTGATGACGGGTGCGAAAGAAAAAAAAAAAAAAACCAAAAAATTTTTTTTTTATTACGTTTTATTTTTTTTGTAATATTGGCCACCCTGATAATTCGAATCGATTCGTTTTTATTAGGAATAAAAAGAAAACCGAAACGCGGATTTGATTTTATTTACGTCGTTTACACGCGTTTCCTTTTTATTATAAATAAATAAAAATTTTCCTGGTTTTTTTTTTTTTTTTGTTTGAAAACTTTTTCCGGCGCGCGCGATAAAAGTTTCGTTGTTAAAAAAAAAAAAAAAGACACTTGGAAAAATGTTTTTTAAAAGGTTAGGACGATGGTAATAGATGGTGAAAATTATGGGGCGTGGGGGGGGGCGGGGAGGGTTTAAATTGTACGCTATTAAAGTTAAAATTTTTTAACAAAGGAAAAAAAAAAAAAAAATTTTTTTAAGACGGAAATAAATAAAAAGTTTTTTTTTTTTTTTTTTTTTTTTTTTTTTTATCCGGAAAAGAAAAGGGAAAAAGGAAAAATTTGTCGGGTCCCCAACCTGAAAAGGTTTTCTTTCAAAAAAATTTCCGGTTTTAAAAAAAAAAAAAAAAAAAAGGAAGTCAAAATCTAGTTGCGGTCTCGTAGGGAAAATTCAACGGCAATTTGATGTCGTGATGACTTTTGATATTTTTTTATTTTTATTTTTCACGTCATTTTTTTTTTCTTCCATGTTTGGTTTTTTTCTTTTTTTTTTTTTTTTTTTTTTTTTTTAATCTTTAAAAATTACTACGAAAAATAAAATAAAATAAAATTTTATTCGAAAAGATTTTTCTAGAAAAAAATAAAAAAATGTAAAATTGCGACGCGTAAAAAATAAAAATAAAAAAAATCGTTCGAAACGATGACAAAATTAATAATAATAATAATAATAAAACGGAAAATCGATTAAAAAAAAATATAAGTATGAAAGTTTATTTTATTATTTGACCTTTGAACTTTTGTAAAAAAATTTTCCGCGAAATTGAGATTTTTTTTTTTACTTTATTGTAATCGGAAATGATAATTTATTAGAAATTATTTTACCGAAAAATGGATTTCGTTTTTTTTTTATTTGTTTTTGGGGGGAGAGGGGAGAAGGAGGGTGGAGCGCATAAATAATATTATTATTATTAAATCGTTTGATTTATTATTTGAAAAGCAACAAGACGATTATAAAATGGGAAATGACGTCAACATGTCGCAATCGTGACTGACGACTGAAAGTTTTGTTCGTTTTTCCTATTTTTATCCATAAATTTATCGTTGGTTTTTTCGTGACAAAGGAAATATATATATATTTTCCTTTTAATAATAAGAACGTTAACCTTTTATTACGACAAAAAAAAATTTTTTTTTTTTTCAAAATACGAAAGGTTTAATCCGCTTAAAAGTTTGATGAAATTAAATTAGACAACAGCTTAAAAACGTTTTACAAAAATTAACGGTTAAAAAAAAAAAAGGAAAAAAGGAAAAATTTTTTTTCTTTTTTTTTTTCCTCTTCCTGCGGTTTTTTTTTAAAAAAAAAAAAAAAAAGAAAACTTCGATTTCTTTTTAAACCCGCATTTTTTTTTTCGGGGGGAAAAAAATTTTTCGAACGAAAGGAGGGGAGGAGGGGAAAGAGAGTAACGTGAAAAAAAAGAAGAACGAACGAAATAAAAACGAAAAAGAGCAATTATTATTATTATTATCATTATCATTATTATTATTATTATTATTATTATCATTATCATTATTATTATTATTATTATTATATTTCCTGAATAAAACCATTAAAAAAAAAAGTGTCACGCAAAAGTAAATAAATGTTACCGATGGGAATAAAAAGAAAAAAAAAAAAACGTCACGTGAATCATTGGAAAAAATAAAAATAAAAAAGAAAATTTATATAAATGCCTGTGTGTGTTTGTATTGTACGCACACACGCACTCACGCACGCATTCACGCACTCACATAGAGAGAGAGAGAGAGAGATGTGTGCCTATAAGTTTAAATCGTTGTAAATTAAAAAAAAAAAAATTTTTATTTTCGAACGGTTTACCGTTTAAATTCGAACCGTGTGCGTGTGCGTGCGTGCGTGCGTGCGTGAATAAACGTATAAATAAATATGTATGCGTATATATTTATTTATACGAAATAAAAATTGATTTAATGCGGTTTTATATTCGTTTGCCTACCACCCATACTCATTTTCAAACCCATTGAATGAATTTTACTTTCCAAACACTTTTTTTTTTTACCTCTCCTTTTTCTCTCTCTCTCTCTTTCCTCTTTTTTTTTCTTTTTCTCTCCCGATTTTTATTTTTTTTTCCAAACCGGTAAAACTGCTAATCTAATATGATTTCTCTGGAGATGGAAAACTTTTTTTTTTTTTTTTTTTTTTTACAAAAGTTTTTAATTATTGATTTTTCTTTTTTTTTTTTTCATTTCCAAGTAGTAATTTCATTATTATTATTATTTTTTTTTTTTTTATTTCGAATTATTAATTATTTTGTATTATTTCGTGGAAGCCGAATAGATTTTTATTTTCCCGTCTCCCCGCCCCCACCGGTCCCCACAATCGTTAAATCGTTTTACGTAATGTAAATAAAAAGAAAAAAAAAGAAAAAAATTATTCGTTCGGGTAATGAAATTTATTATTATTATTATTATTATTATTATTATTATTATTATTATTATTATTATTATTATTATTATTATTATTATTATTATTATTATTATTAATGATTATTATTATTATTAATGATTATTATTATTATTATTATTTATTTATATTTTTTGTTAAATTTACGTAATATTTGTGTGACGTCATCGAGAACGACGACGTAATCGATGTAAATATCATATTAATAATAATAATATCGCGTTTAATTTTAATTAGTCGAATCTTGTCTTCGTTTTGATTATGTATTATCATTACATGATGAGATAAAGCGTGCGTGAATGCGTGAGTGCGTGTGTGCGTGCGTGCGTGCGTAAGTGCGGGTGATTCTATTAACTTGTGTAAAAAATTGAAAAGAGGAAAAAGAAGGAAAAAAAGAGGGGGAGGGGGAAAAAATTTTTCCCTTAACTTTATCAAGTGAGAGAAGTCGTGACCGTTCAAACTTCGAACGTGTTTTGTATAATTTTTATTTGTTTTTTTGAAAAAGTTGGCAGTACTGTTTGGAAGAAGAAAAAAACTCACGTTCGTTTTTTTTTTTTTTATTTATTTATTTCTTAATTGATTTGAAATTTTTTTTTTACGTTAGACACATTTGAAAATGGCGGACGCCGTCAAAAAAAGGAAAATGGAAAAAAACGTAAAAAATTATAATGAGAGTAGTATTATTAAATTTTCGCTTCCGGTTTTTCCTCCTTTCGAAAAAATGAGAGAGATACGGGGGGGAGGGGAGGGGCTTGGGAAAAAATTATTATTATTATTTTCATTTTTCCAGTTTAATTTTTTTTTTTTTTTTCATTTGAAGAAAAACTTTAACTTTTTTTTTTTTCTTGCTGGAAAAAATAATGAAGTAGAATAAAATAAGTGAAGGAATAAAAACAAAAAAAAAAAAAATCCGAAAAATAATGAAAAAGAGAGAGAGAGAGAGTGGGTAGGTGGGTGGTGAAGGGAGGGAGGAGGAGGACGGAGGTGGTAGTGGGAGTGGGGAGGAGTGGCAGGACAGTAGGAAAACAAGTTTTCCTTTGAAAAAAATTTTTCTCTTTTTCCTTTTTTTTTTTTTTTTGTATTTTCAAATTTTCTTTTGTATGTGCTTGGAATGTTTTTTGATGCGTCTTTCATTCTTATTTTCTTCTGCTTTTTTTTTTTCATTATTATTATTATTATTATTATTTTTAGCATTCACAATACAAAACGTCCATCGATGTGAAAAAAAAAAAAAAAAAAAGAATTTCAGCAGTTTTCTTATTCTTCTTATTCTTATTTTTCTCCCTTCCCCTTCCCCCCTCCTTATTCTTTCCCCCCCGCTCTTGTTTTTTTCTTTTTCTTCTTCTCATTTTCACGTTTTTTTTTTTTTTTTTTTAACGAACGAACAAACTTTAGTTTTTATCTCACGACGAAATAAAAAAAAATGGACGTGGAACGAGAATTTTTTTTTTTATTATTTTTCCACGACGATTTTCTCCTCTTCCTCCTTCTCTTCCCCTGCCCCGCCCCTCCCCTCCTCTCTAAAACGATTTCGAAAATATATTTTTAAGTTTGAAAATTATCCGAGTTAGTTTTGTTTGTTTTTCTCTCGCTCAGGTTCGCACATTATTATCATCATCATCATTATTATTATTATTATTACTACTACCATCGGAGTTTAAATTTCATTTTGAAGTTCACGAACGATGAATGACGTCAAACGATGATGATGATGATGACGATGACGATGACTCTTGAATTTAAAAAAAAAAATTTTTTTTCTCGTTTCGTTTTCGTTTGTTTATTGTTTTAACGTTACAAAAATTATTATTATTATTATTATTATTATTATTATTATTATTATTATTATTATTATTATTATTATTATTGAAATTTAACCGTACGAAATGAATATTTGATAGTAGGGTTGGATTTATTAACTCAAAGTCTTGTTTGTTCGTTTGTTTGTTTTTTTAACATTGTTTAAATAGATGTAATGATAAATACGAATGGATTTTCATATTTTGCGACCCTCTGTCGACCC